TAATAGTGCCGTCAGTGGTCGTCTGTTCTCAGGCGTGGTAATTGATACAAAATAAAATGCATTATTTGTATTCAGTCAGGAGTATGAAATTGCATTCAGTGGGCTGAAGCCTGAACTCATTTACAGTTTTCCGAAGCCAGGCTTTCAGGAGCCCTCTTTTCAATTTGAAGAATACCTTGTCAGGCAAGAGAAGTAGTGGGAAATGGGAAAGCACAGCGTGCAAGCCTGGCGCCTTTTGATTGCTCATATTTTAAACTGGGAGAATGTTAAATAACTTCCATCTTCAAAGGGTGGTCTCCAAAACCAGGAATATGGGGCATTAATACACCAACAATATCAGCTCGGCACCCATTTATGAGTGACTCGCGTTTCTTTTCTGGTTGAGGGGGAGGGAAAGCATCTGGCTCTTCGCTGCGGAGCTGTTTGACCCAAGGACGGTGGGTTATTACCTGGAAAGGGCTGCAGATCACGAGGATTTACCATAGGAGGTTAATTCTTCAGCACCCAGATGCAAGTTGTCGGACTGTACGTGTCTAAGTGTCCTCATTTTTCAAAGCTCACGAGCAGGTTTTGTTGGTGCAAATTATAGCCTAGAAATTAGACTAAGCCACGGTGAGCATACAGATCTGTCTTAGTATTTTTTAACCAGGATCCTGCTGAAAAATAAATTCTACGGTTTTGTATCAGGGTGTGGTTTCTTCGCATTTTACGGGTTTGGGGCTTCATGGTTTACACTGGAGTCACACGTGGCAATGAACACAGCCCTTGTATTCTTGCCTTGGGGACCAATGCACTTCAGTACATGTCTCAGCATTGCAAATATTTGGAAACAAGCTTTGTGAAAGGCATGGGAGAGGGCAGTAGAGCTGGTTTTTACTGGATTTTTTTTTCCCCTCCCCTTGAGTAAAATGGGGTAATTCTTTTTAAAGTGAAAGCTGAGAATGAAGCCTGTCCATGTGCCCCTTGCCTCATTTTCTGAGGGGAAAAGTGGAGTCTTTTAAGAAATTGTGTTAGATGCAAGCAAGCCTTCCTGACTGGTGTGGTCTCTGGGATTTTTCAATGATATTTATGAATTTTCTGGATTTTACCAAGGAAATGAAAATAAACAAGATGCACTTTTGGTGTCCTGTGGCAGAACTGGCCACCACAGCCAGACCCCTTCCTTGCAGCGCCTGGCTCTGTGTCTGGCCTGTCTCAACGTGGTAATTTTCATGTCATTACTGGAAAGGAGGGGGTTTTGTGTGGTATTTGGTTTTTTTTTTCATCTTTTTGAGTACCCAAGGTAGGAAACCTTCTTAAGTCTCAAAGTAGAGGTAAATGTGTAGGACTGACAGTAACAAACCTGCATCCTTGGCCATGGCTTTGTACTGCTGCCATCCTCTTTGGCATCTTCGCTTCTTTCAGTGTCAAGGAGCCAAAGGTATCGTGACCCCTTTGCCATGAGCATGCTGAGCACTGGCATGGATTCTCATGAAGGTTTGCCTTCCTTTTCAACTGGAGAGACAGCAAATGTTTGCAGGATAGCTGCTTTGAGCATTTCTGGGTCAAATGCTTAAAATCTCCTATGTGGATACACAGTAAATCCCATGATTCCGTTTTGTGGTTAAGTACTTGATTGGTTTCAAAAGAATGGACGTAGGGAAGAGAACAGAAATCCTTAATATAAAGCTTATGCTTGATTTGATCTCTTTTGCCAGGCAGTTAGCTACGTAATTTATCCCCCACTAACAACTTGCAGTACAACTATGCTTAGCAGGTAATTAGTAAGTAAACTTTATTTGGAAAAAACAAAATAAGCGTTTCTTTGTCGAATAGGCAGTTGTATGAGGATTTAACTACTAAAAAACTCAAAGGTACATTTTAAAGTCTTTGGCTTGATATTTTTCTGACATGCTAATTTGTCTTAAGTGCAATACCAGGATTGCACTTAAGTGCATTGTGGTATCTAACCAAGGTTCTGAAAACGGCTTTGCTTTACACGCTAGCAAGCACTTTACTTAAATTGTAAGGTGTTATGTTAAATTTTATAATTAAAGACAAAACCAAACCAACAAAATAGAAATGCATTTAGCACTAATCATAGCCAAAAGATTGGTTGCAATTAAACTAAAATCATATTACCAGCCTTGGGGAAATATACTGGATTAAGGTTACTTGAATAGTTGCTATGTGAGAGGACCTAGATGGAGAATGAAATTTCAAGTATGTCTTAATTTCCTAAAGTTTTCTCACATATTGCTGTTACGTGTTCCTTGACTGAAAAAGAGAACTACTCAAAGAGAAGGCATTCATTATTACCAGCCATTACATGGACCAGGGAAGAGACTGTGGGTCTCTGCTTATGACAGGGGGGCGTCATCAGCCTTTAATTTTGATTTGATTGAGCAAGCTAATTGGTGGAGGAGGGGAGAAAATTACTTTGTCATTAGGTCTTAAAATTGTTGTATGTTATGCTACCATAGCTAATACAGTGGGAAACCAAACACACTGAACATGGGATTATTTTCTTTCATTGGGAGCACATTTATCATACAATATTAATTGTACCAGGCATACATGAGTTACCCACCTTGTTTTCCCACCTTTATTGTCATTACCACCTTTTCTATGTGTGTTGTTTTCAATATTAATGAAAGCAAATAGCGTTCAGAGGACATTGAGATATCTCTGTTCCATTATGTATTAAAATGTCCTAATGTTACTCAAGTTAATTTGAGGATCAGTAAGATCTTCGTAAGAAAGAGCAATTGAAAATAATAAAGTGATTTCCCATTGTTTTTTGTCATTTCCAGCTGGCCTGCTTCTAAAATAGATGCAGAGACTTGTTGATTTAATAGGACTTGAACCAGAGCTTCAGCCAAGTTGCTTTTTTGTACCTTTTTGAAAAAGTAATGGATGTTGCTAGGAGACTCTTCTGTAGCCTTTGAAGTTAATTAGCTCAAGAAGTTAGCTGCTAACAGACAGCAAGGGATTGTATCTTGGATTATAGCAATCATTAATTTAAATTACACAGTATTTTTATTTTTCCTTTGTTTTTTTGTGTTGTTTTTTCCCCCTAAACTGCAGATACCGGGTTAGGAGATTCAGTGTGTTCAAGCCCAAGTATATCCAGTACGACAAGTCCCAAACTTGATCCACCACCTTCACCTCATGCCAACAGAAAGAAACACCGCAGGAAGAAAAGCACGAGCAATTTCAAAGCTGATGGTATCTCGGGCACAGCTGAAGGTAAGCTTACTCTATGGTGGAAGTCTAAATTTTGAAAATGTTGTTCCAAAGAGCTCTGCTAAGTACAGCTCAACTACACCATTGGCTTTGCATACAGAAGGTAGAGAGAATTGTACTGAAATAGAGAAATTAAAGACTGATCTTGTAACGATGAAGCTGAATAATCTGAGGCACCATAATGGTGAATTCGACTGTCTGAAACATTTGGAAACAATTTTTTTAGTAAATTAAAGTGTCTCCAAGTTAATATGGAGCCCCATTAGCTCCAAAGGTAAGGAATTGGAATACTTGTTAATGTTAAACAGAAAGAAAAAGTCAGGTTCACTCAGGAGCCCATACATCGTGTTAGAACTTGTGTATTTTTTCAGTATTATTAAATCTCATGTTAGCACTTATGCTTAGACACATCCTGAGCTCTAGAATCACAAATGCTTCTAATGCCTGTTATTGTTTGAATATTCAGCTGCTCATGGAAAGATTGTATTATTTGAGGATAAAAAAGAAAAGGGAAGAGTTTAAATGTTTGGGTTCTTTTTTAAGAACCAGAAAGTGTAAGCCAAAAAGAACTTCTTTTTTCCCTTAGTTTAGCTTACTATTTCCAATGCGAACACTGCTATAGCTGTTCAGTGCCCTTCTGAAGGGGTAACAATGTGTACAGTCGCCAGATATGATATAAAACATGCTTGTATCTTTAGAAAAGAAGAAAAGAAACATGCCAGCATTCAACCAAAAGAGCTCCAGAAAAAAGATGAACAAGGGTAGTTGGAAAGCTCAGAAACTGGGGAGTCAACATATAAGGAGAGATGAAAACCAGAGACAATGGAATAACATTGTCAGAAAAGGGGAGTGTTGAGTAAGAAAAAGATGTGGTTGTAAGCATCGGAGAGTAAAAAACAGCTACTTCAGTATCAAAGAGTGTTGGAACAAGTTCTGAAAAAAGGATGACAATTGCAGACAGCTGAAGAGACATTAAAAATAGATGTGATAATAGTATACAACTGGGAAGGGCATGTTAGCTACTACTTAGTCATCCTTATTTTCCATTTATTTAATTTCTCAATTGCACTTCTATCACATATGGAATTTATTTCCCCAGCTATCTATACAAATCCCTTTTAAAAAGAAGTCATCAGCTTTTTTTCCATAATAGCTCCTGTTGCGTTCTCTTTCCAGTTGTTTAACTATCTTTACTGTTAGTTTCCCCACAATTTGTACCCTGAAGCCAAATTTTATTTTAACCTTTCATTTTTAATTTGTTACCTTTGTTGTTTTTTTTTTTACAATCCCTTTTACACCACTTACTTTCATGGCAAGTTATAGAGGGGATTTTTTTAGAGCACTCATCATTGGTCCAAGAGTATTTTGTTGAAGTCAATATGAATCAATGGATAGCAAGAGCCTTTGAAAATCTCGTTTTAAGTAGTTAATAGGTGTATGTTTTCTTTCTCCTGGGGAGATTATTTTCACAAGTCGTGGGAGCTGGAGCCTGTGTGGTCCTGATCTGCGGGCACGGACTTCTGACCTCAGTGAGCAATGGGGGATCTGCAGTTGTGCATCTTGTCCCCGAATCCCTGTTCTGATTGGAGTGAGGAGTACATGCTCCTTCATCCTTCTCTGTTTTCTCTTGCTCTTCTCCTTGTCTTCCAGCATCATAACATGCTAGTCTGAAATCCTTTTGTGATAGCTCCACAGAATTCCCCTCTCATAAATGGGATAAATACACTTCCAGAAGAGCAACAACTGGCAGGCAAGCAGCAACTAAATAATACACAAGGATCTTTAAAAGTAGTAGTGGGTGCCAACGCTTGCTTTTGTAGTCATTGTATCTCTACATTATCCCATCAGCTTTCTTTGACCTGTCTCCTCTTAGACGTCTTCTGAGATGGGCACACTTTTCTAGCTTACAGATGTGTCTTGGGTGGGCCACAGTGGTTTTAAATTCTTTATAACATCTCTTTTAAAGCACAGCCCAGTGAAAAACAGCGATTGGCCATAAGAACAGAATCACAACTTTCTACACAGGGTTCTTGCCACATGTGAGAGGGACTCTGGGCATCCTTCAGCAGGTAACTAATCTTACTGGGCCTTGAATCCTTAGCAAGGCTGGAAGGAGATGCCTGACGGTTAGGACAGTCAGCCTCGTCTGTCAGCAGCATCTGAAGGAGAAAGCAATGAAATGTGCTTGAGTTCCCGGTCCTTTTAGAAGGGCATCTCAGAAAAAGTGATAATGATTGTAGATTCCCATGAAATACTTCCTAGCAAGACTAACAAAGGCTGTGGGTTGATTTTTACCTAATCGTGGCAAGTGGACACTTGCATTCTTTGTCTGTATTTTCTGGTACTTGTGTGGGCGTAGGCCAGAAGTTACATTTGGTATGCTTTGTGGTTGAACCAGAAAGGTAGTGATCCATCCTTCTGAGCTTGCTGTGGTGGTGAATGATAGGAATAACTCCAGGACTGGGACAACTGATGTCACAAGCCAGTCCTCCTGCTGGTGGGTTGTTCATCTGAGATGCTTCAAGCTGTTACGAGTTTTTCTCCAAGTAGTTGAATGTAGCATTTTCACACCTGTCTTGCAAGTCAAAGCAGTTTTCCCTCCAGTAATTCAGCCTTTCCTTAGCCTTTCCAGTGCTTGGCTACAAATCTGTCCAATGACCAAAAAGATTTCCTTTTTGATTTTTCTACCTCCTCGCTTGCCATAAGCATAAGATTTAAACCCTCAGGATTACTGCAGTTTTGAAGACCACAAATCCATGTTAAAAGGAGGATGTTCTGAGCAATGCATGCTTTGCCGTGGCAACTTTGATCAAGTGCTTGAGATACAGCAGGTGACTTATTGCAAATGGGATACAGAAGACTGTAGTGATAATCATAGGAGAAGCAGATCTTCCTTCCTTCTGGAAATCCTGAGCTCACTGTGAAAAGGAGGAGGAGGATCCTCCTGCAGTAGCTCTTCTCAGACAGTTACAATGGATCAGAGTTAAATTATTTGGGTAATTCTGGATTTTGTGTTGCCTTCCTTTAGGTCCAGGCACATTTCAAGTGTAAGCTTTCAAACAGAAATGCCTGGTTCCTTCATTTTTGTCTGTAGCAAAGCTTAGGTGTTCAATGACGTTTAAATCTGGTCTTCAGCAAACTCTAGCATTTTTACTGCACTTTGCGGTCTTTTTTTTCTCCTTGAACGTGCCTGCTTTGATCATTGACCTCTGCCCAAGTATTCAGATATCACGATGATGGACACTAGTGAGCCCAGGGTGATTCACTAATTCCAAGGACTGATGCTCATCTCTCTTATGCCCTTCCATAAAGGTCATGCTGATTCTTCTTTCTCCACACTATCTGCACATGCACAGCCCTCTCTTTCTAGGTTTGATTCTTTCATCTTACTTGGTTTATCTTTCTATGGGTTTTCTGAGACAATGGTTGCAGCAACAAAAATACTAAAGCAACTGTGCTGCAGTTGAATGAAAATTAAAATTCTATCCCTATTTTGGAAAACGAAATTCTTGTGAAATTTTTCCAGTGCAGTGAAACCCAGAGAGAAGTTTTTTAGTTCTCTGTACAGAACTTATCACTGAAAAAACTTCTCTGTGTTTTTGAGGGTAACAGCATGAATGCTTACATTAGACAAGGTGCCAGCAACCAGCAGTGTTTTTCCCACCATGCTGTCTAAACTTGCTCAGAGCAGGATTATACGGTGCTGTGTTTCAAAGAGGAAGAGCTGCTCAGAGCCTAGTCTGTTTTGGTACCCTTGTGCTGCTGCAGTTAGTGGAACGGCTAGTGATAATAGGAAGGTTTTTCAGCTTGAAAACAAGTAGAAAAATTAAAAAGTTTTCTTGGAAATACTTTTCACAGAAAGATCTTTCTCAGTCTTTATTTTCCTTACTCTTGTTAGACAGGCTTGAACCTGCCTGCCCTCAATCCATCTCTGAGATTTTTAGGAGCTCTAGAAAGCCCAAGGTATGGCCATCTTTCAGCATCAAATCTGGATCATCCCTGCTCTGCAAGTGTTTCATTGACTTAAGAGTTCTGGCCAGCAGGGCCACTGTTGCTGTCTGCTGTAGGGCCGGACCGACTGCCTCCAGGTAGTCAGGTGAATCCACTCACTTGGTCAGGGTGATGCAAGGCAGCTGCAGGCAGAGCACCGTTCATTTGTCTTCTCTCTTGGCAGTGTAGGCCAAACAAGCATAGCTCTGTCTTCCCATTCATGCAGGTGTGACCTGAGAAACAGGAATTGATGGTAGAATAGTAAATGTGATCAGCAACTCGGTAGACTTTTCAAACTCTGTGTTTTCTCTGTAAATCCGTGTTCCACATTGTTCTTCATTGCTCGTTTCTAAAGAACTTTTGAAGGACAAGGAAGGGCCTTTCAAGTTTCTTTTTAGAACTGTCTTCTTAATACAAAGACATTTGTTCTCTGCCTCTTGTAAAGTAATTGCTTTTCCCTGTTCTTTTTTCATCTGTGCAGTCTAGCCCCCAACTCTAGGTGTAGGCTTTCTGGCTTGTAGCTGAGAATGAACCCCAGTCTACTGCAAAATTATATATTTTTTTTTGTTTTTCCGGGGGTGAACTGGTAAAGGTATTTCAAATGGTTGTTCTTCACATGCGTGGTTTATAACACTGAAATCATTCTTGTGTTCCGAATGTTGGGGAGCCTTGAAGATGAGCTATAGTTAAGTTTGAAATTAAAATATGTTTGTTTGTTTTCTGTGGATGGAAAAACAGGGTAATTGAGTCACGCTTCTCATTTGTACTTTTAGCAATAAACAAAAATTTCACTGCTTTTGTCTGGTTTCTCAGCTGCTTGGGGACTTGAGTCTGGGAGGGTGGGACAAGGTACAAAAAGCCAGGGAGGTGCCAGTTTATTCCCAAGACTTCTTGGCCGCTTTCAGCCATCCCAAAACCAGAATGACAAAGCGAATTAGGGGAATGCAGTTCTTAGCATCAGTGTCTGGAATCTGTATAATACCTGAAATTTTGGTATTTTGTGTAAATTGGAA